ATAATCTTGTTTTCTTGTGCCCAATAATGCATAATTTCATTTGATAAACACGTTTAGATTGAATGGTAATTTATAATCAGTCACAAGAACGTCGAATCTGAATCACTTGAAAAAAACACGGGGGTGCTTTACTTTTTTCCAGGTGTATAGTTGGAGGTAACTTATCAAGTATTCCAACGTTTAGTTGTATGCGTGAGATTCACACGTAAGGGTATGCTAAATTTTGTATCAATTTATGCAGAGATTACGATTAAAAAAGCAAACAAGTAACAAAAATGGTATTTTGAAATAAATCAGTACAGTAGATAATATACAAACTCTAACAGTTTGTCTTGATCAGAAAGGAAAACGTTACTACACGCCCTCTAAGTATAATTTATTGTCATACAAAAAATGTGTACGACACTTACACAGTTTCAGTAATTTATTTCGTCATGAGCATAACGGTTCGCTTGTTTTTATTTTGCAAAAATCCAATGAGTGATATTTGTTTGCTGTGTTCAGGAAATGACTGAGATCACCTTAGTTTTCTTTTATTACTATTTGACGTAACAGTGTCGTCCTGTTTAATTGATTATGCTTGAAAACTATTGGATTAATTAAAATAATGGTTTAACACAACGTTATAATCAAAGGAGAAATTAAATCATGGTAAATTCCCTAACATTTGTATGCCTTTTGTACTTTGCATAACTTTTTATTTTCTTGTGTGTGTTTTTACTTTACAGTGCAAGCTGAAACTAAATATTTCATGATTTTAAGTTTGAACAAGAAAATAGTAGCATGTTTATATTATGCGTCTATTCCAAGGTAACGTGAAGACTGGCACTTTCGTTTTAGAAACAAATACAAATGTCATAAGTTTTACGTTATTAATTGATATGAAAGTCTTTTGGAAACTGAAGTTATATTAACTATTAACCTATCTATATAAAGCACAAATATCTGTGTGTCTGTCTGTTTGTCCATTATTTAACTACACCAGTCTCAACCAAAGTTTGTGGGATGATAATTTGGAACAAGGGACATGTTAGTGGGGGTTCATAATCCCCTCCATTTTCCATTATTCATATTATTGGGCATTTATTATCTTTGATGTACGTTAACTACATTCATAGGTGACGCCACGTTCTTACGCCAAACCGAAAAACTTTATTAACTTTTCTATAACACAACATACACAAAGTGTGGAAGAAGAGCACACAAACGTCTTATATATCTCAGAGTGTGCGCTAGCACTCTGTATGGAGGAATGTAATGAAAAAAATGCCGCCAATATTGCAATAATACATAAAACTCAAATGAAGTTAATACTACAACAACCACCATAAGGCTGATATGAAGAGCCGTTTCTTGAGTTATACCCACTTCCTAATTTGACCCGTGACTTTACAACTTCATCTCGTAAGATACTTCTGCAACCAACTACAGTCAAATAATTAATAACGTGAAACAGTGTGGGAGGACATTAAGAGCTGGGTGTCAAAAGCAGGTAACAGAAAGTACCCTTATCGCCATTACTTTAGCCGCTACCTTTTCGTACAAAGTCACCCTGACCATTGCACAGTGTATACCATATTTTAAATATACACATATTAAGTTCTTAAAGCTTATACAAAGCTTTCGGTGAGGTAATAATGAATAATGTAATAATAAGTTATGTTATAAATAAATTGTGTGAAAGTTAGGATTTTTGTGTTATTTATCATAGCATCCACCCCACATTTTTTAAAATTTCATAACCTGGACAAAGGACGGGTTCTTCAGCTTGTATATTATATTTTACGCCTGTAATCGAGCAAGTTAATTTGTTAGATTGTTCTATATGATATCAACTATAGTAAGTATTAAGAACCGATTACATAAGTGATTCGTTAGATTGTTCTGTGATATCAACTATAGTAAGTATTAAGAACCGATTACATAAGTGATTCGTTAGATTGTTCTGTGATATTAAATATGGTGTTTAGAATGGATTAGACGATTGACTCTTTAGATTGTAGGGGATATCAACTATGGTAAGTATTTAGAATGAATTAAACAGTTGACTCTTTACCTGACTTTATGGCATCAACTATGGTAAGGACTAAGAACGGATCACACGATTAAGTAGTTAGAGCTGCAAATACGGCGTGTTATAGTTTGTTTGTTATTAAGTACAAAGCTGCACCATGGGCTATCTGTGGTCTGCCCACCACGGGTATCGAAACCCGGTTTCTAGCGTTGTAAGTCCGCAGACATACCGCTGGAAGGCGCGTGTTATAGATTATTTGAAAGATTAATTCGGCCTTTAATAAACATTTCATAATGTTTCGTTATTTTTTAAAAGTCAAATATCAATATCTTTACTAAACTAAGTGCTATTCTCACACTGCACAAAAATTCTGTGAAAACCTTTATATTCATGGAATATCCTTTAACCCCCTTTTTTAGTGCCTGAGATGAACACGAGCTCACCAAGTAAATATTTGCCCTATTTTCAATTACCATTTGTCGAGAGCAACTTGAAATGAACGCTTACCTGCAAATGACGTGAAAGTCTATTTTTATTTTTAAGCATATTATAGGTATTAAATATAATGTAATTGGAAGAATATTTGATATAGTAAAAACCAGTTTACTGTGTTCTCACTGTGTATTGCCATCAGAATGAGTTTGGAGACTGACATAGGTAAGCCTTGATCTGAATATTAGAGATCCAACTGACCTACATAACGGAACGTAAAAAACAAAAACAAAAAAAAAACATAGAGAATAGTTCTTCAACATAGTTTGTCAGAATTCTCGTCACGTGCCAAACCTTCCATCTCTTCTTCCAGCCGTCCTTCTACAGAGACGTCACTGTGCTTCAGCTCGTGAACTGACAAACATTGGACACGGGGGTTCAGGAGTAGGCTGGAGGGAGTGGCATTAAGAGAATCCAAATAAAAGCCGAGTGAAATGCATTATTGAGTGCCTTAAGTGAATTCATGACTTGATTGTTATAACGTTTTAAACTGGTTTAGTTTTAATAAACTGGACAGAAGAAGAAGCGATATTCAAAGAATAACTGGTGACCAGTTAAATAATTAGTCTAGCCTTCCTTTCCAGCATTAATAAGGTCCTTATTACTGTTCACATTCAACAACCCCAGTTTGGTCCGTTCGCTCTTAAGCTGTTTCATTAAAGTATATTTCTAAACTACCATTTAACAGTTCGAAAATAGTTTTTTTATGAAAAACATAAACAAACTAGTTGATTTCAATAAAATATTCATCAACAATGACTAATTGGTCAGCCAGCACCATTCTTAGTAGAGCGATTCTTCTAATAGCAGTGTTCATCGTCTTGATGAACCTATTGTCCATTGCAGAGGGCAAAAAAGTAATTCGGTCGTCTCGACGTCGACTTCCTTGGATCAGATCTCGGAGGTCTACACCTCACCGTAGTACCCGTGAAATACATGAGGGCTCGATCCGCCTGGTGGGAGGTCACACAGTAAATCAAGGAAACGTGGAGATCTACCATTTAGGTGAGTGGGGATCCATCTGTGACGATGAGTGGGACGAACGAGAAGCGAATGTCGTTTGTCGTCAACTAGGATATCCAGCCGCAAAGAAGCCTACCACCGACTCTTTTTATGGTCAAGCACGAAGTAAGTTTGGCAAGAAGCTTTTATCTGTTTAAAGTTTATAAAAGGATATATATTATTTTTTCATCGTCAACTGCTGAATATTAGAAAGATTGATATATAAGATCGCTATGAATTGCCTCAAATTAGAAATCATTCTGCAAAGAAGTGCAAACAAAATGTTAATGATTTCAAAGAAAACTAATATTAAAATAATATGAATAATTTAAATACACTTTAAAGAAGAGAAATATCTTGGAGTGGTGCAAATATCCATTGATCTATTAAAATTAGTGATGTATTCTATATGTTATTTTTAATATTATTTGTTTAAAAGTGAAATAATTTTGATTATGATAAAATCAAATTCTTAGGAATCACAGAAGCAATATTACGTACTTAATAATACTAAAATATGACAAATTAAAACATATATTATAATTTTAAAGTATCAGAAGAAATGACACCATGTAACAAAGTTCGTAAATGTGATAACGAAACAAATACAGAAATTAAAATAGTTTTAGGTTAAAAAATCTGGTGGTCAGTGAACATTTATTCATGTTGTTTTCTTAACTAAACGGAACAACTTTCGTTCAGGGATTTGCTAGGAAATAGTATTTTTGTAGTTTACTTTAACGATAAACCTGCGTTGATTGTAGTAGCAAAATTTTTAATGCATTAACTTTAGCCCGATGGAAACAACCAGAAGCGTTTCAAAAAAACTGTTACTATAAACTATCCCTATAAATACTGACATGCATAGCTGTAACAATAAATATGTTAACATTTGTAAATTAAGATTAGCGTCATTTCATATATCTATTTAAAAAACAAAACATCACTTAACTCTAACCATTTTATGCAGATGTGATCAGAGGATGAAGTTTATCAATGATAAATATGCTCAAACAAGTTTTGAAACGTCTAAGGGAGGTCAATGTTTTACGAATATCGTGTTTGCAATTAATGTGATCCTTATTTTGAAGGCAAATATCCAAGTTAGAGTCTTCAGAACTACAGCGGAACTTTTCCATCTTTCGTGTTCTTTTGTTTCCAGAAGTAATTTGCTATGAGACAATAATATTATTATCAATTCAAAATGTCTCCTTTGTGTCATTCTGGCAAGCACTATTTGACAGAAATCAACGCAGGTATTTTAAGGTAATCTGACTTTATCCTTGAAAAAAAAGAAATCAAACGAAGGATAGTCGGGTTAAAACTTTATATTTTGGGTGACAGTCAGAAAATCAAGAACTGTGAAAAAATACCCAGTTATTTAACAAACAAAAAAACAACAACAAAAGCATTTTCCTTATAATGCGTGAATATTATCATTTAAGAATGATTAGATCACTTACTGAGATATTGTTTCAAGGATATGATATCAAGATGCTGAAAGTTCTAAATCGTTAATTTTATGTGCAACTTTTGAAAAACCTTTTATTTGTCTTAATAACAATCCATTTCAGTGGTTTTTATCATAATACTTTGAATATTATTGCGAGGGATATTTAGATGTTTTTTCCTGTCTGCCAAACATATCAGATCACAACAAGCAAACGTTAACCAATGGTGTTGATGGTATGGGCAAGTGGATATCACTTCTCAACACGATGCTTTTCTTCATCATTCTGTAATAGTCATCACACTAATTCAGTAAAAGACAGGTGTGACTTTACGGATATTACTGCTAACATCTACTTTAAGAACATCAGCTGTCTGGAAACGTTACTCATGCGGGCCATCCTTGAGAAGGATAAAATGATGGAGTGCACACAACCCTAGGTTAAGACTGTACGGGATGGAACATAAATATCCATTCAAATCTTTCATTTGCTGTTACACTATTACACTATGACTATTATGGAGCTTGGCATGATCATATTGCGGGAGAACAACTAGTAGTAGATGGATATTGGCATATGTTTACATTAGGAACCTGGCATGATCATATTGCGGGAGAACAACTAGCAGTAGATAGACATTGGCCTATGTTTACATTAGGAACCTGGCATTATCATATTGCGGGAGAACAGCTAGTAGCAGATAGATATTGGCATATGTTTACATTAGGAACCTGGCATATCATATTGCGGGAGAACAACTAGCAGTAGATAGACATTGGCCTATGTTTACATTAGGAACCTGGCATTATCATATTGCGGGAGAACAACTAGTAGTAGATAGACATTGGCCTATGTTTACATTAGGAACCTGGCATTATCATATTGCGGGGAATACTTAGCAGCAGATGGATATTGGCCGATATTAACATCAGAAGCCTGATTTTGTCAAATAACAACAGAATACTAATTCAATACTTATTTGTATGAATTAAAATACTTATTTCCAGTTATTTCTCAAAAACATTTGAAAGTCGTTTCATTATACACTTTTATTGTCTGATGACTATCCAGCTTATTAGAAAGTTTTAATGGTACGTAAATCCTGCCAATGAAAACAAATGCTAAGAATTGTGAAATAATTTGTGTCCGTGATTTTAAAGAAACATTTCGAAAATTATTTTTCACAAATGTTTTAAAATGTAGATATTTTGTTGTCAGTCATTGCTTTTGAAATCACTATATTGTCGAATTAAAAACATAAGATTTGATGAAAGAGTGGTAGCTTTACGTACAGAGGGGTATTAAATTTAATCCGAACCATGCGAAAATAGTGGATTTTCAAAAATGGAAACTAGTGCCCAGCGAGTTGTTGTCCAATGAAGCCGAGATTAGGGTCAGAGACAGGCCTTTTTTGCAAAAGGGGAGGAATGTGGTACTAAGTAGTTTGAGTTGTTAAAAAGTGTCTTTTTAACAGAAAGTAGAAATTATATAGTTAAGCCTTCAGTTTAGTTAGTAGATCCCTCTCTTGTTGTACGACAAGCATCAGGTTTAATTCTTGAAGACTAAAAAGTTTGATTTCCAAATTCTGATTTCTTGTCTGTCGTTAAAATTAAACGCCTAATGATTTCTATGTTTGGCTTGTGTGTTCGTGCAAACGTACACGACGGCTATCTGCACTACTATCCTTAATTTTGAGCCGATAGCCTAGAGGAAAGTCAGCTAGTCAACAACACTAATTGTCAAATATTGGGCTACTATCATCTGACCGAACATTAGGGTTTGACCGTTACTCTTATAACACACCCTCAACTCCAACGTAACACGAACCATGGGCCCCCAGATTCACACGTACTTGTTTGTGTGCAAAAGAAGAAGAAATCTAAAACGAGTAATTAATTTATAAAATTACTTAATTGTTATGAACAGAGTAAATAAGTAGATAGTATTTATTGCTCTAACTTTATAATAAACTTTAAAGACAATCCAACCAGTTTTTTAATACTTAACAAAACGAAAACCCTTTAAGGATATGCTATCAAACAATGACAATCCAACCAGTATTTTCACACTTAATGAAACGAAAACCCTTTTTAGTCTTTGTTACACTGATGCGCAGATTTTTCGTGATGCAAAGTATATCACAAGATAACAGAGAATTTAAGCATAAGTTAACTTTGTTAAATGTGTTTTATGGCTTAATTTGATGTTCCTGTCTCTTATCAATTATTTTTGTTCCTTCAGAACATTTGAAGGAAAGTCTGAAGAAAAATTTATAACATAGTTATTTACTTTTAGAATCCATTGATGCGTTATAATTGGATACATGTAAACAATATGTTTCACATTTAAAGGGAAAATTAGCGAGCTCTTTTTTCCAAAATATTTTGTACTGTCCCCAGTCTGAAGGCTTACAACGCTAAAATCCGAGTTTCAATACCATTGGTGGACACATGACGATAGCCCATTGTGTAGCTTTTTGCTTAATAACAAACAAACAATCTATTGTACTGTTGTAATACTACCAGGAATGAATAAAGGTAGTTCTTATCTAGATTTTATGCACCTTCCCCAGCGGCACAGTGGTAAGTCTGCGGACTTATAACGCTAGAAACCGAGTTTCGACACCCGTGGAAGGCACAGCACAAATAACCTATTGTGTAGCTTTGCGCTTAAGTACAAACAAACACACTTGATATTATTTGAATAAGCAACTGATATAACAACACGATTGACACTTTATGTTTTCTCAGAAATTAATCTTTAAAATTAGGCTTAACTGTTTAATAATGTCATTAGTTACATTTGATATTATTTGTCACAAGCCTACGATTATTGTGACTGTATAAGGAAAACTTAGATGTTTATGACCGAAACCTCCTAAGCAGCTGAGTCAGTAGACTTTCTCGACAGGGTGTGTACTGGAACGTAGGCAGGAGACAAGATACGAAACACCTACTTAACTCTCAACAAATATGATGTGTTTGAGGTGTGCAACTAATACCTATTCCTTGAGTTAGGGTGTCTTTCTGATTTGTATTATTCAGCCAATCCTAACACTGACCAGCCTGCTTGTGAGGTTATAAGCTTTGTGAAAAAAGTTATTGCTTTTGTAACAATCTAGGTAACAAAATGAAAGAAAAAACTATTTAGACTTGCTACTTAATATAGAACCTTTTGTTGTTGCTTTACTGCTCCATCCAGAAACCTCTGCATTACTGATAACTCCAGATCAACAATTTTTTCGTGCTACTGCTCGATCCAGAAGTGTCCAGCTCTAGTAATATATCCAGAAACTTTTCACATTACTGATGGATCCAGAAACTTCTTATACAAGTTCTAGTGCCAGAATATTTTAGTTACACTTGAAACCTTCGGTTCTACTAATAAAACAGTAGTTATGCCTTTATGTATGTTGTATTAAACATACTTTGATCATCTGGTAGGTTGTTTGTTTGTTTTGTTTTGAATTTCGCGCTTAGCTACTCGAGGGCTATCTCCGTTAGCTGTCCCAATTTTAGCAGTGATAGATTAGAGGGAAGGCAACTAGTCAACACCACCTACTGCCAACTCTTGGGCTATTCTTTTGTCAACGAATAGTGGAATTGACTGTCACATTATGACGCCTTTGCAGTTGAAAGATCGAGGATGTTCGATGACTGGGATTGGAGCCTGCGA